GACATACATAGGAGGGTATATTTATAGTGAAAAAATTGTGCTAGAGATCAAAAGTCAGCAATTTTCAAGGGTGATTTCCAGTAGATTTTTCTGTTTGTTCCCTCCTTATGACAAAGTAAGAGGATCTGAAAGACTGGTGGGAAAGGAGGGGGAAAAGCTTGGATTTTTTTTCCTTGGGGTGTATACATACCCTAGAAATCTCAAGGAAGGCCCTACTTCCTTTTTCAGACTGTATCAGGGAATTTATCTGAGAAAAGGTGAAGCAAATATCTCAAGATAAGTGCCCCACTAAATCTTTCACTTTAATTGAAGGCTGAACATCAGACACTTTCCTTTCTCTGAAACATTAAGTTGCTTATAACAATACATTTTTTGTTGAAACATTTTGCTGAAAGTGTTCAAAAAATATGTTAATTGTGGCACTTGGGGGCACAGTTTAGTGGTGGCCTTGGCAGTGCTGTAGTAATGGTTGAACTCGATGATGTTAGCAGTCTTTTCCAGCCCAAATGATTCTATTCTATGATTCTAGCAAAGACTGGAAGGGGTCTTTCACACCCACCAGCATCCCTAAATATTCAAGAGAAGATGCCTCAAAAAAGACATCAGAGGTAACCATCTAACTGCAGGAGATGGTTCCACAGCCTGGCTGCTGCAGAACAATGTTATCCATACAGTTCATACCCACATAAGAGACTCAGTTTTTCCACTGGAGGTCAGTGGTACAAAGGAAGTGGACCAAATGAAGGAACAAGTAATTGTAAAGTAGAAGGAACAAGTAATTCCACAGCTCTGTCAGCTCCTCCACTGAGGTGCAGTCAGGGGGATCACAAAAAGCCTGGCAAGGGCTCACATAAATCAATTGTGCAGACAGGTTCTGCCTGATGGTCTTATGTAGATGCCTGCTGCTAGCAGGAGGTGTGTATCCCACTGCTTGCTGAGGCTCATATCGTGGGAGGTTTAACCTCACATGAAATCACTGAGACCTCTGAAGTCTTCTCACAAAAGAGGCTTCTGAGAAAATCTGAGAAATGGAGCACAGGGCTGGCAGCTTCTTCTGTGACTTCTCCATCACACAGAGCTGCTGAAGTTCAGATCAGTGACTCAGGGACCAGTTTGATCTAGACAAGGGCTGTCCTGCCCAGGGTGATTCCAGCTGTATACAAGAGGGAATTCCCAGTGCAGAAGAATCCCAAGATGATGCAAGTTGCCCATTTTGATATATAGGGACATTCTTTTGAACCAAAGGACTCGCATTCTCAGTGTCCATCTGCGATTGCAGACCTCCACAACACATCATGCTCTGGAGAAAAACCAGGACATTAAGTCCTGTCCCCAGTGAAATCTGCCTGCCTGTTTTGTTGTCTTCTTGCCTTTTTCCTCCCACTCCTCCTCCGTCCCGTTTCCTTTTCCTGTGTGCTTACATGTCAGCCCCTGTACGTGCAAATCAGTAAATCAAACCATTTACATAACATTATTTTCTATGTTATCTCCGTTTTGCAAAGTGTTTCCTGCTTTCCTGCCTGCAGTATTTTCTAAGGTGCCCCTCGGCACTGAGCCCCAGAGCAGTCGTGCCAGGGATAACCCACGAGCACCTGCCAGCTCTGTGGCAGCTTCCCCTAGCAGGGCACCAGCTTCCTAAAGCCACCCACCCTCCCAGGGCTTGCTGCAGCTCTCCAAGGTGGGCTGCTGGAATCTTTGCCAAGGAGAGCTGGCACTGAGGGTCCCTGACAGTAGCAGAAGGAGCAGACGCAACATAAACACCAAACACCCTTTGAATCTCTGCTGCACCAGCTTGGTCAAGCCTAGCTACAGATAAAAATGATGGTGGCTAAGCACAAAACAGCTGCAGTAAACAAAAAAAATTGGATTTATGGCGTTTGAATGGGATTTGGTGGATCCAAAACCCAGGTTTGTCCAAGGCACACACTTTTATGCATGTCAACTCCCAGTCCTTCAGCCACTCCACATCCTAGGGATTTCAAATGGGACGACAAATTTTATGACATTGTTGTATTGGGTCTGGCTGAGCTGGAGTTCATTTGCCCATAGTGGCCCTTGACCTTACATGGTTGACACAATTTTTGCATTAACCTCAGATCTAATAAACAAGAACATAAGAGCTCTGCAGTCGCAAAGAGCTCTGGGTAGCCACATTAGCTCTTTGCACAGGGTGCAAAACCAGCTTGGACTTCTCTCTGAGTTTGTGAAGGTTAAACCAACTCCAACTGTTGGCCCAGAACTGCTGCTACTTTGAGTTAGTAAAAAAAAATTATAAATGTGTATTCTTTGAACCGCACCCTTTTCCTCCCCCTGCTCTAACAACTGTAACCTCCTTACCCCTGTGGGTGTTAGAGCTTCCTAGTATAAGGTGGGGTTTTCACAAGAAAAAAAGCCAGATATATCTGTCAAAAGGCTGCAACCCAGGCTGCACGTGTGGCGTGAGTGGGATGTTTGGAGATACATGTGTTTGGAGGTGGAGTTCAAAGCGTGGAGACAAATCCACTGAGCTGCAGCACATTCGCTGTCTCAGCTTCAGCCGTGACACTGGCAGCAGGATCTCCCAAAAATGCTGTTAGAAATAACCCAGCTGTGTGCCCCACCTCATCCTGAGGGCCCCAGTGCACAGACTGGCACCTCTTCACTCTCACCACACAGAGGACAAACCTGTTGTTGCCCCAGAGAAGTCAGTAGAGCCAAAGTTCTCTGGGTTGCCATGTGACAACAAGCTGCGCTCTGCCAGGGAGCTCCTGGGAGGGAATACATCAATCCCAATGCATGAAGGGGTAGGACTGTCAAACGTGATAGGGCTTTTCTCTTTGGAGTGAGAGATCTTTCCTTGGTAAGGGCATGATCAGTCATTTTGTGCATTTCCACCCCTGAGACACACAGTACACCACTGCACCAGTGAAAACTGAGGACGACCAAATTTCCACATGCCATTCAGAAAAACAGGCAAACTTAAAGCAAGAGGATTTTCCAGTGCAGACATGAGATGCAGGCATTTATGCAACCTGACTAACCAGAAGGAATCTGACTGTGTCTACCCACCCATCACATGTAGAAAAGCCAGTGCATCGAAAATCTTAGCAGCTGAAACTCCCACATTTTGCTTCTAGCAGCAGAACAAGAAAGTTTCTGCACTCCCTGCTGTGAACTGGGTGTGCACGGGAAGCCAGAAAGCCGTGTGAGCACTTCCTATGCTGCAAATTTAAAGCCATATTCTACCATTTTCCAAGAAAAATGAGCCTCAGTTACTTGGAAAAAGATGCACAACTGCACAAAATTGTCTTCCTGGGTAATCTTTTGCAGAGCTTTTATATAACCATGACTCTGTGTCAGCTGCAGATGGAGGTAGGAGAGGCAGATAATCTGAAGTTTTCTCCATTTCTGAGTTCTTATTGGTCACAACCAGGGGAAGAAAACATTAACATTAAGCATTTTTATATGTAGTTGAAGAGAGAAATATTCTACTAGCTTTTCTCTTGATAGTTTCTAAATGAAAAAAAGGGTGAGTGAAAAACTCAAATCTGAAAGTCTTTCAAAGACATTGGGCCCCAGGAGTCTTCCACAGTTACTTGTGTTTACTGGTCAACGGTGCACAAGCAATTTCTCTATCACAGTGCTGTGAAAATCCCCACAAATATTCTCTGTTATGCAGCAGTGAGTTAAAACAAGGATGGACCCTTTTTTTCTTTTATTCTTTGGACAGTCACTCTGCCTCAATAGCAAAATGATCAAGAGTGCAGAGAAGATATCTCTGCAGCTTTACTTGCTTAAACGTGCTACCATAAAGGCAACTGGCTGAATAGCATGCAGAAATTATATGGTAGAAAGAAATATTCTTAGACTGCTCAATCTAAACTCGGTAAGGCTAAAAGAAACATTTTTATTTACTTCTATTGGATTTAGACAGAGGCCAGAGGGTTTCTGCCTTCTGCTATAAATGGTTCTTTATCTGATCTTTTTTCACTGCCTAGATATGACATCACTACAATATGAGTAGTAGGCAAGAATTTATATTTCTGTACTGCTTGCATTATCTCTACCAAATACAGACTAAACTTACTTCTTCTGTTTGGTTTAGTTTTACCACCCACGGAAGCTGTAGGTCTGTCTTTGTCTCAGTCACAGAAGATCTTGTCAAAGGTTTTTTGGTATCTTGGCATCAGTCTTTAGCTTGCAGGACAATGGTTGTGGGTGATTGCGGCTGTACTGAGAGAAGAATGAAGCAGCAGTGACTCTAAGTAGTAACACCTTTCAGGTTCGACTGGAAAATTCAAGGGCACAGAGAGGTGTCATCTTCCATTTCCCTATGGAAGACCATGCAATTTTCAGTGTTTCATTATGAAATTTAGTTGGAAAATGCACATGCCTCTGATTATCGTAAACCCCACATCAGTAAGAGAATAATCAGGCAGGTATTTGACTCCACAGTTGGCTGCATCCAAGTGGGAACTGTGACATCAAAAATACCCCAGGGTAGCCCACTGGTCTCTATGAAAACTCCAGTTCTTCAGGTCTGAGAGCACTTTGCTCTTTTCTGACCCACATCTCTAAATGAAGAATGGTCACCTACAGAGGAAATCAGCTCTAGTCATCTCAAAAACGCCATTCCATCCTTCTTTCTGTTTTCCTTTGGGTTTGGTCTCTACACAGAGGAGGACCAAGGTGAAACCACGTGTTTGAGGAAGTGCACAGACTGGTTCCAGCCCTATGCCCAATCAGGTTGAGCTGATACAGGCAGAAATTTCACCTATTCTCCTCTGCAGATGGAAACTGGTTTCAGCCTCTTCTTCCTCAGTTCCTTCTGGATCCAGAGAATAACTTGCTCTTCACAGAAAGACTTATCCTCAGAGAGCCTCTCCAGCAAAATGTAAAGAAAGTAACCTTTTCAGACCAGAATGAAAGTACATACTAAGTATTTCTTTAATTTTTTCAGCAGAAATGTTTTGCTTTCAATACAGATATCAAAAGTAAATTCAGTACTCTGCTTGCCTTAGGTTACCACCCAGTTCCACCCTGCTCTGCCTTAGCCCCAGCAGCCTGCAAGCACTGACAGACCCTCATAGGGTCCTGTAAGCATCTCACTGAAAGTGGAATTGGTAGAAGTTGATGGGTAAGTCGCCTGAAAACTTAATAAATCTGTTCATAACTGACTTTTGCAGAGTTACACACAGCATCTGCAAAAACACCTGGAACAGATCTCACAAACAAGGTCTGGGCTGGCAAAGAAACATCAGGATCTTCTTCCTCCTTCACTTAAAGCCGTGCTAGAGCAGTTGGCAAAGATCGTGTGCTCCTTTGTATCAATGCTCTTTGCTAATAAGGAACTCCTGCAAAGGAACACTTCTTCTTGAAGCTGCTCAAACCACCATCTCATTTTCAGCCTTTTCTAGCGCTGCTGGCAACACAATAGTCTCTCCCCCCTGTCACCATCCCTTCTATTGGGCTCTAATACTGGCTCTCACCTACTTCAATACCTATCCATTTCACTCATAGCCAGGTGATTGCCTCCACTCTACAAACAAGGAATAAGCACCTACCACAGGCATCCTGCTCCTGAGGAGTCAGGAGGATTTGGGGCAGTTCATTGGTCTCTGGTCCCTCCAGGGTACGTCAGCAGAGTGATTAAGGTGCACACTCAGCACGGGAACCCAAATAGAGTCTGGCAGACACAAAAGCATCTTCCCACCCCTGTACAATTGACAGAATTTGACAGCAAACACTTTCCTTTTTAAGGCTTCTTCTCCTAGCTGCTCTCCTGACAGCACTGGTCAGCCTCCTTCTGTGCACACCCAACTAAAAGTGACACAGTTGGAGAGTCTGGTGAAGTTATGTGCTTTCTTTTTAGCTCGTCACTTATGACTGCACGTGGGGGAAGTTAAACACTTCCTGCAGTTTTTTCAGAGCAGCCTGTGAGTACGGCAGGAGCTGGAGCACCCCATCATCTCCTCTGCAAACCAAGAAAAAGAAAAGTAAGTGTTCTGTCCACAAGGCAAGGCGTTGCTTCTATTTAGCGTCATTTTGCTTTGTTCTGGTTTGGTCACTGCTTCTCCATGCTGTGGGTTTATGCTTAAGAAATGCAGACCCTGTTGATGTTTCACCGTAGTCTAAATCTCCTTGTGATTGACATAATAGCAAAAAAGTGTTGTTGGGTCTGTATTAACTAGAGTTCTCTGCAGATTGTGAAGTCTTTCCTACCTGTCTTCCTTACGAATTTCCTTGCCTATAAAAAACACATTTCTCTTACAAATCAACTTTAGTTCTAGTCAGGGACAGATTAGGATTGAAGGATTTTGGCAGGATATAGGTTGCTGTGAGTTTAGATTTAGCTATTACTGCAGTGCATGAGGCATGAATACAGAATTATAATAGAAATATGAATGCTGGGTTTCTTTTGAAGAGAATTAACAGCCAGTCTTTCCTCTCATTCTTACTCTGCTGGAAAAGCAAGGCAGGCATTTAATTGTGAAGTTTACCTGCTGGTCTATGGTGGCTAGTTTGATATACTACATTGCTTCTCTTTCTCCATCTTTTATTCACGCAGTACTGCTGATCTCTGGCACTCAGAAACATGAAGACTGAGTTAATATTTGGGATTTGACTACTTTGCCAAAGACCAAAGTGCATCTGGTGTTATTTTAAACCTGCCCTTCCCATAATCCCATTTAAGTCTGCTGCTGCCTCTAAACCAGCAGCTCCTTAACTTCCAGTAAACTCATCGTGATGGGGGGTAGGGGGGTTAGGGTGGCAGTGAGGAGGCAGGGGGAGAAAGAAAGAAACCTACTTATTCTGATTGTTAGCACTTAATGGGCAAGACTGGGTTTCTTCTGAGAACTTTTCCACAGTTCTGTACACAGAAATCTCACAATTTGAATTGATCACTCCCTTCTGCTCAGATTTCTGTCTGAAACTGCAGATGGCTCTTTCAGGTTCAGCATTTCCTATGCCTCTCGGGGAGCCATTGATCTTAGAGCCTCATCACGATCACACAAATAGTGCTGCTGTCTAGTGTCAGGACACTCAGAAATATCCAGCAGCTGGGATTTTTACATAATAACTTCCAGGGTAAACCCTAAGTGGCCCAACAAAGAATGAGATGCTCATTGTGGTAGATGTACAAAGAGTCAGGAGAGATCAGAGCTGAGGATTCAGACAAGACACTACAGATTTAGCAGATGTGAGTTGGCTTACAGGGACATCAGAGACGTGTGTAGGTGCAAAGGGGAATCTTTGAGCGTCACAGTTTTTGTTGGTATGACTAAGGTCTAAAGGGGGAAACGCTGCTGCCAGTATGGGAGTTGGTAGCTACAGGAGGAGACCCAAACGTCAGAGAAGGAAAATGGAGGTTCCCCAATTCGTTGAATCATAGGACAAAAGGGAACAAAGAAATTGAGTTTCATGGTAAATGTCCATGAGGTCAAAGCTCAACACTGTCTTTGCACTTTTCTGCTCCTGGCATCCTGTCCATGCTCACTCTTTGCAGTCCAGTTAAGCCATGCTCTGACTGAGGGATTTCAGAGGGATGGAAGAGACAAACAGATTTTGGGAATGCAGGAAAATCCTGAGATCCCTGTGACTGTCATGGTTGCAGTGAAAGTGTCAGTGCAGGATGAAGGGAAGCTTGTGAATCTGGGAATTTGATCAGATGTGTTTGGTTATGAATAAATATTCTCTACAAGTGTCACTGCATGGTGGCGTTGGACATTTGCTGCTGAGCCAGCATCCTCTGGCTCCCATGGGAACTTGACAGAAGAGGTATGAGCTACCATTTGTGAATCTCTTGGTTTGAAAACCACTGACTGACTTGGGACAGAAGGAGGAAAAGCAGCAGTGGGATGGTGAAAGGTGGGAATGAACTGTGGCAGTACAGAGACCACATACAGGGAAAGCCAGACCCAGGTGACGACAGGTTGGCAGGATGAGAAGAGGTCAGGGATGGAGGACAGAGTCTGAGCTCAACAGTGGCAGGCCAACAGCATGCAGGACCATGCTTGGGTAGACACAACCCTTAATAAAAACAAACCGATATGTGAGAAACAAACAGAGCCATTAGCCAGGCACCATCCACAGCCAAATTAAAACAAGCAAAGCTGCATACTGCAAGGTAGGATAACTGAACCATCACTAAAACTCACACTCTCCACCCAACTCTGCTACAGCATTGCTCTGTTCTTGTGTGGCAGCAAAAGAGTCCCCACAGCCTCTGTGGAGCCAGGAGCACAGAGGTGCTGAGTGCTAGCCAAGGGATGCCACAAGCCACAGGTATGGCCATGCCTCATGCGCTGATCTCGTTGCCTGCCTACGAGGTGATGAGATCCAATCTTCACAACTCTGGAGGTGATGTCCTCCTTGCAGAACAAGTCTCTCTCTTTACCACAGGGTGGCTGTGGTTGTCCTCTGCTTGCTCAGGATTTGATGACCTTTATTGATGCCTTGCATTGGTCCAGGTGTCACACATGGCCATGTGCTGGCATTCCCTGAAGGGTGAGGTGTATGGCCTCAGTACAGAAATCTCCAGCGACTCCAGGTGAACAGTTGCTGTCCCAGAGATGACTTTGAGTCATGGTAGTTTGGAGGGTGCAAATGGCTCTAGTGTGGGCTTTCTGTGGCTCCTAGTGTGTTTCTAATTGCAGGTGCCAGAGTTTTGGCAGGAGTGTCCTGTTTGAAGGCCCGAAGGCCAAGAATAAGGAGGAAGATGTCCTAAGTAGCTGCTGGGGAAATCCTAAAGTCTAAGGATAACAGAGCACTCTTTTTTAAGGGGTAGACCTGTGGGTTTTGACATAAGTCTTGGTGCTTCTTTGTTCTTCTGCTTGAAGTCAGATTTTCCTTAAATATGGCAATTAGACACACTCAGCTCTAGCTCCTTGTCTTGTTAAAACAGCCTGCTCCCCAACACCCCAGCCTGCTCTTTTAGGAGTCCAGAGGAGTATTCATCCATGTGTAAGCCCTCACTGCCAAATCTGCAGATATTTGGCTGTGCTTTGGCATCCATGAGCACTCTGGTGCAGGAGAAAGCATCTGTGCATGGGAGTCACACTTCTCACCTTTTTTTTCCAAGACTTTGTAGTTCCAGCAGGAGCCAGTAAGAAAGTTTGGCCAGTTAGGTTTCCAAATGAGCCACTTGATTAACAGAAGCCGTATACAAATAGCCCCCATCAACAAGGCTACCAGTTAAGCTGTGACAGCTTTAGGAAGTCATTGAACGGGAGTGCCTGATGGCTTTGTGTGTGAAAGTGTGAGGAAGAGGGTGTGAAGCAGAGCTGCTCTCAGCTACTCACTTTCACTGCCTCTGCTCTAAAACCTGTACTTTCCTCAGCCTTTTGACTTGACAAGCTTTATAGTTTAGCCTCACATGTATGAGAGCTTTTCTGGGGTTCCTGGTGGCCCTTCTGGCCATGAAACTGTTCCTCTGGCTCCAAGACCCTTTCCAGATAAGCTAGTAGGTACCAGGAAGTAAACCTCCCCTGCAACAGCTGCTCTCTGATGGTCTCAGGGAGGACTGAAAAACTTTGCTGCGTCTAAAAGTCTCAAAATTATGAGTCACAGCCTTTGAATCATGAGACTGGAGAAAAAAGTCCACTGGTACGGGTGGATTTTGGGGTCTATTTTTCATCTGTGAACTTCCCCTATGTGCAATGTATGACATTTGAGTAGTTTTACTAGCTTTTAGATACGTTTAATGAGACAGTTTTAAGCCCTGTATCAGGATCTTCTGTTACATCTTTCTCCAAACCACCCGGCATGCTCTCTCCTGTGCAGTCCCTCTCCAGGTAGTGTAACATGGCACTAGGACACATAGTTTAGGGAAGGATCACTATTTTAAACTGAGTCCCTTGTCAACCTTGAATTATGACAGTTCCGCTTATTGATACCACAGCTGCTTATTTTAGCAAACTAGCACATTTACCACTATTGTGGGATTTGCAGATTGTGGAAAGGAGGAAGTGGATCTATGTAAAAACACCTCCACAGAGGCATTTAAAAATCTATAGTTTCAAAAAGTTCAAATCTATGAACAGAGTACCATGAGACAAATCAAACCTCTTCCTCTCATCAGAAATGATTGCTGAGGTCCCCTCCTGAAAGGCAATTGGTTAATATCCTCTCTCGTTTAGCAAATATCTTCTCTATTTTTGTAAGACTGCTTGTATCTGCAGTATAGAGTTAAGTATTAAGGCTGTATAACTAATCCCAAGGTCTTGCTGCTTCCTGACAGTAGTTATTTTCAGCCTACAAATGCCCCATGATTTGTTTTAACCAGCACTAGTCAAGAGAGGGGTTACCTGCTTCACCACAGTGAAGGAAAGATATTTTAAGATGGAGCTGTGCTCAGGCTGAATTCCCAGTATAGACCTGTAATTTAAAAACAGCCTTTTTTCTCTACAGAGTTTTGAAACCGTATAGTTTGAAAATTATATACTCATATATTACATTCAAATTTGAAACAATGTTTTTGAAAATATTTACTTTTATGTTCAGATTTCAAATTATATAACTTCAAGTCCTACCATCTTGCGTGTCTCAGTAAAGCAGGGTAATTAAGTGGAGCCATTCCTGGTTTTCCCTTTTTATGCTGAGATTTTCTTATAGGAGTGAATTCACCTATTAATTTGTCTATTAATAATGGAAAAAAAAATAAAGATGTTCACTGACTTGCTGGAATCATGGGTTACAATCTATTTTTATCCACAAAGATACCATAAACATTTTTCCTACTTTCAAGAACAGTAGAGCAAATAATCTTTGGTAATTTCTTATTTTGTATTCAAGTTAAGAGACACAAAAGCTAGGGCCTGGAAAGTGTAATACGTCATAAAGCTTACAGGCAGGTAATGTAAGTTCTGCACAAAAAGGAGAAGCCCTGGTTGAGACAAGGAGTGATTTTGCTGGTGATGGGTGTTGTAGGTGGCATATCTGCCACATCTGGGCAGTTCCAGTACCACATGCTACCAAGGAAAGCACACAAAACCCTTCAG